TGACTGCATAAAGAAGCTGTGAAATATTTATACAATGGAATATTACTCAGCCATAAAAAAGAATAAAAGTATCCTATTTGCAGCAACATGGATGGACCTGGAGATCATCATTCTAAGTGAAGTAAGCCAGAAAGAGAAAAATACCACATGATATCACTTATATGTGGAGCCTAAAAAGAAGAAAATGAACTTATTTACAAAACAGAAACAGACTCATAGACATAGAAAACAAACTTTCTAGGTGGGGAAGTCGGTGGGAAGGAAGGGATAAATTGGGATTTTGAGATTTGCAGATGCTAACTAGTATAAAAAATAGATAAACAAGGTTATATTGTATAGCATGGGGAACTATAATGAAAGAGTGTGAAAATGAACATATGTATGTATATGTATGACTGAACTATTATGCTGTACACCAGAAATTGACACAACATTGTAAACTGACTATATTTCAATAAAAAAAATCTACTGTGATTATTAAATGAGATAACATAAGTAAACCGTCTGGTTTATAGTAGATAGGCAGCAAAGGCCCATTCATTATATTTAATCTTTTTTAAAAAAACTCTTAGAAAGTCCTGAAAAGAGTGGGTCCCCAACAAGGACCTTTCTGAGAGCCTACATATTATAGCAACAGCTCAAACATACTGGAGGAGCCAAAACTGCCATTCTTTAAAATTCAAATTCTAAGTTCTTCAAATTCAAATCTGAGGCTTTCTCAACTGGTATTATCTTTAGAAGATAAGCAGTGTTTAAAATTCAAACCCTTGTGCACTGTTGGTGGAAATGTCAAATGGTGTATCCACTGTGAAAAACAGCACGGCAGTTCCTCCAAAAAACTAAAAACAGATTACCTTGTGATCCCACAATTCCACTTCTGAACATGTATCCAAAATGACTAACAGCTGCATCTCAAAGGGACATTTGTACACCTGTGCTCGTAGCGGCATCATTCACAGCAGCTAAGAAGTAAAGCAGCTGAAGTGCCCGTCGGCAGACAAATGGGTAAGCAAAACATGATATGTGCACACAACAGAATATTATTCAGCCTTTAAAAGGAGGGAAATTCGACCTCATGCTACAACATGGATGAAACTTGAAAACATCATCTAAGTGAAATAAGCCAGTCACAAAAAAGACAAACCCTGTATGACCCCACTTACGTGAATTATGTACGGTAGCAGTCAAGTTCATAGAGACAGAAAGCAGAATGGGGGTTGACCGGGGCTGAGGAAGGGTGAAATGGGACATTTTTGATGAGTGGATTCCGAGTTTCAGTTTTGAAAGATGAAAAAGTTCTGGAGACTGGTTTTGCAGCAATACTTAACACTTCTGAACTGTACACTTAAAAATTAAAAGAGTAAATTTTATGTTGTGTGTGATTTACTACAATTTTAAAAAATTGTAAAGGGGTGTTTCTTAGACGTTGGCATCAGGCAGTTAGTTGCGGGAAGAGCATTGAGGATTCGTGGGCTCATCTGAGATTCTATGCGGTCCAAATTCTTCTCGCCCTTGAACCTCAGATTCAGAGTTGTCTACCCAGCTGCCTGCACGCCCCCACGGGAATGCCTAACAAGCACCTCTAACGTGGACTCTGTCCCTCCCCATCTTTCTAACGTTGGGAAGTGGTTCTACCACCCGATCAAAATCAAGGACACATCCTTGACTTTCCCTAACTCCCCATCTGATCCATCTTGAAGGCTTGTCAGCTTCTTGTCTAAAAAAGCACAGTATTCTCTCTTTCGCTGCGCTAGCCCAGTCTGCCACTGCCTCAGCGGAGCCAGTCGGGCTAGAGCCTCCTGCTTCCACACTTTTCCCCCTTTTCTCCACACAGCAGTCTCTCCCATGTGGTTTTAAAAATATGAGTCAGACTCTTTCACTTCCTCTGCTTAACACGTGTTGATGTTTAAACATTCAGGATAAAAATTAACTTCATTCCAGGGCTTAAAGTTGCCTTCACGGTCTAGCTCCTGCCTGCTTCTCTGACCCTGTCTTCCCCTTGCTCCGGGTATCTGCATCTGCCAAATGGGTACAACAGCAGTCACCTCACACAAATGATCTCAAGACCCCTTGCTAACCTAGTCAACCAAAATCATTGTGAGCATGAGAGGAGGGTCCACAGCAAGTGATCGGCAAACACGAGACTTCCTTTCTCCCCCTTCACCCAAGTGGGGAGAGAGAAGCCCTGCAGCCCAGATAAGTCTACAGGGGTCAGGGATGAAACTGGACCGAGCGCCAGCTGTCCCGTGTCCTGCTCCCTTATCCAGTGGCCTAACCACCGCCCCTTGTGGGGCACTTAAGCCCAGAAGGGGGAGCACTGGGCCTCCCGTGGGACACGTGGGTTGCTGAAAGAGTTAAGATGCCTCTTCCCAAAGCCTGGCCCTCCGCATCCCTGCATCTGCCCTTGTGGGTTTAATGAGAAATCCAGGCGCTTCGTAAGGGACTGTACAAATAACTTCTAGGGCTCCGCTAACTCATTCAGCAGAAAGAGACCCAGAGCTGCCAATGCTTCAGGGAAGATAAGTGAGTGGAAAGAAGGTGGTTTTTATAGCGTCAGGCGGACGGGAGGATTTTGCGCGGTTGAGTGTGAGCTCCGCCCCTGCAGCAGAGCCGAAAAAGCCAGAATCCAGGCTCCCCATCCCCACTCTTCACAATATTTGATTAGGAATTTGGGGGCGGGCCCCTGGCCTGGCACAGACACGCACAGTCTCAGTAGACGCTCTCATTTCTCTCTGCCTCTCACACATCCTCCAACCAAGGAGGCCAGACAGAGGGACGTGGGCACTCTCTGAAGGGTTCAACTCGAGGTAAGTTAGTCCTTTTACTTCAGTTTTTGTCCCTGGTAGTTCCAAAAAGGAAATAAAGGAAAGGGGCTGGGGAGCGGGGAAAGGGCCAGACGGGGAGGAGTCATTCCTCATTGCCCCATCTGGGCTGTGTCCCAGGATGCTGGAGGGGGAGAAGGGGAGTAGGAGCAAGGGACTCCAACATGCTACCTGTGTCCTGCCATTACTCTCTGGCTATTGGGGTGGGGGTCTCCGATTCTCAGGCATGAAAAAGCAAAGGGCCAGGTGTCTAGGGAAGCCAGCTCTGCCCACCTACTGTTCATAAATGCCACTGCCTAGCCCTGTGTCCCTGCAGTCTCTCTCACAGAGCAGTGGTGGTACCTAATACCATTATGAGATGGAGGAGGAAGTTGTGTGTGTGTGTGTGTGTGTGTGTGTGTTGCTGGGGTGAAAGGGAAAGAGCACAGAGAAGTGTGGAGGACTGACCATGTCCAGGAGCTGCGACGTGGGGAGCCATCCCACGTTGGGGAGTAGCTTCTCTGGACTCTGGGAGAACGGAGAGCCGGGTCTCTAGAATGGAGACGTCAAAGAACAGCAGGGAGTCCTGAGTAAGCTCCCCCAACGTGCAGGGTGCCAGTCCTCGAAACCGCCCACATCACAAAACTCCGAGCACAGGAGGGTCTCCAGCACCAGGGAGGAAATGTGAGGGTACACAACCCAGGAGCAGCGTTGCTAAGGGAAGGGGGTGGGGTTAAGAGAGGCGTAAGGTCCCCACCAAACCCTCTGAGCAGTCATGATTCCAAAGGAGAGGCCGAAGTGGGCAGCCCGGGAAGGCTGAGTCTTGAAGAGGAAGGGGGCTCTTGTTTGCCAAGGTGCCTGGTCTGGAAGGAGAAATGGAGACAGAGGCTCACTGTGCCAGCCTCCAGACAGCCATCTTGGTCCTACAGCAGCCCAGAGCTGTGCATGGAAAAATGTGCTCCTGGCGGTGGGCCACTCCATCCGTCTTCTCTCCTGGCCAGTGCCAGGGCCCAGCCAGCGTGCCCAGGCAGTGGGCGGTTGGGTCAGCTTCTCAGAAACTGTGAGCTCTTTGTCTGAGGCTGCCTGAGGATGAGCCAGGTGCCTCTCCTCTGTGGCCCAGAGGCTGCTGGAACGAAGCGGGCCTAAGGGAACCACTTTCAGGGGACAGAGAGGCCAGAGAAAGACGGTGGCCAGAAGGTGACCCAGACTGACTGTCACCGTCAGGGTCCTTCTCACCAGCTCATTGGATCTGCAGTTGGCACTTAGACTCCTTTCTTCCCGCTGTCCACAGTTGCCAAGCCCAGCAAGGCCCAACAGCAACGTGAATGTTGTGTGTGACTGTTCCTGGACCAAGAAATGTTCTAAGGTTTCTCTGTTCACAGGCGACACTAGGAGACTCGTGGCTCGCAGGAGCTGTGCAGGGCTTTGGCTCTCGGTGTTGAGAGTAAGACAGCCGGCCTGATGCCGCCCGTGTCCCCTCATCTTCCACACCTTCAGCTTCCCTCTCAGATGATACCAAGCCCACATTTCTTTCCAAGCCTACCCTGTTCTCATCTCACTAGCATACAAGCCCGAATGCCCACCCGAGCTTGTGTGGCCGTTGTGGGGTGGCTAGGTAGGGGGCTACCAGATAATCTAGAAGTCACCATGGATGGCTCGGGATGGGAGAGAAGGACGCCAGAATCCCATTCTAATGGCCACGTTCCCTTGGGCATGCACAAGAGTCTTCAATTCCCGTTTCACTTTTTGATGCTGCTCATTCATTTCTCTTGCCCCCTGTGACTCGTGCCTAATGTTCGTGGTGGGGCGTGAGAAGCACTGGCACTTTACTAGACCTCACAGAAGACAGCCCGGCACGCTGACTCAGACTCCACGCTCTCGGCCCTCACCCTAGAAGACAAGGGCCATCCTGGGTGCCAGTGTCCCCTGGCTGTAGGGGACCTGTAACTGGTATATAAAGATGCTGTTCCAGCCAAGTCGTATGTGTAGCCACAAACGGCCAACCAGAGAGCTCCCCCTCCAGCACTGCCACAGGTGCTGGCGCTGCTACAGACCCAGGCCTTGTGGTGGCTGCAGAGGGACCGGGCCCTTCTCCATAGACTCAAAACCAGAAACCCACTGCCTTCCCAAGAGACCAAAAGATCTTCCAGAATGAGTTCAGATCTTCCCCTTTGAGATCTCAGGCCACTTCTGGAGGTTTCCCGGAGACATGGAAAGAGCCAGCGGGCTTTTTCCTTGGACTCTTGGAAAACATTATTCCCTGGAGGGTCCAAACTGGATGTGGATTCAGGCCTAAAGAGCGCCTTCCACCACTCCCACGCCCATGGGAATCGCTGTGGGCTTTCCAGCTCCCCCAGGAGTTCCTCCAGGTTGCTAGAGGCCCCTATGGAGCTGCCCCTCCACAAACTGTAGCACCTCCATTCAAGAGCCTTCTAATCAAAGGCTATGTTTCCGTGACTCTGTGACCAGAGGAAAATGCACCCAGATTCCCCCGAGGTAGTTGAGGTCCAGCTGGACCACGTGTGCAGAGGGGGCCCTGGGAGGAGGCCCGGAGGAAGTGAGGAAGGCTGCCGCTCCCGGCGGTTCGACGCTGGAGTCCGAGCTGCAGAGCTCAAAGCCCAAGGCTCACCTCCCCTGCCTCCCTGCCTCCCTGGAGTCTCACTCATGCTTGCTTACTCTGTTCTCCCTCCCTCCCTTCTTGCAGAGAGACAAAATGCAGTGGGCCTCCCTCCTGCTGCTGGCAGGGCTCTGCTCCCTCTCCTGGGCCCAGTATGATGACGACTCCCACTGGTGGTTCCAGTACCTCCGTAACCAGCAGTCCACCTACTATGATCCCTATGACCCCTACCCTTACGAGCCCTATGAGCCTTACCCTTACGGCGTGGAGGAAGGCCCAGCCTACGCCTACGGCTCCCCGGCCCCACCTGAGCCCCGCGACTGCCCCCAGGAGTGCGACTGTCCCCCCAACTTCCCCACCGCCATGTACTGTGACAACCGCAACCTCAAGTACCTGCCCTTCGTCCCCTCCCGCATGAAGTACGTCTACTTCCAGAACAACCAGATCTCTGCCATCCAGGAGGGCGTCTTCGACAACGCCACGGGGCTGCTCTGGATTGCTCTCCATGGCAACCAGATCACCAGTGATAAAGTGGGCAAGAAGATCTTCTCCAAGCTGAAGCACCTGGAGAGGCTGTACCTGGACCACAACAACCTGACCCGGGTGCCCGGCCCACTGCCTCGCTCCCTGAGGGAGCTCCATCTTGACCACAACCAGATCTCGAGGGTCCCCAACAATGCGCTAGAGGGGCTGGAGAACCTCACGGCCTTGTACCTCCAACACAACGAGATCCAGGAAGTGGGCAGCTCGATGAAAGGCCTCCGGTCACTGATCTTGCTGGACCTGAGCTACAACCACCTTCGGAAGGTGCCTGATGGACTGCCCATAGCCCTTGAACAGCTGTACCTCGAGCACAACAATGTCTACTCGGTCCCCGACAGCTACTTCCGGGGCTCACCCAAGCTCCTGTATGTACGCCTGTCCCACAACAGCCTCACCAACCATGGCCTGTCCTCGAACACCTTCAACTCCAGCAGCCTCCTTGAGCTCGACCTCTCGTACAACCAGCTGCAGAAGATCCCCCCAGTCAGCACCAACCTGGAGAACCTCTACCTCCAAGGGAATAGGATCAATGGTGAGACTTTGGCAAAGGGGAGTGGGGAGGGCTGTCTGCTGCATTGCAAAGACCCGACTCTGAGTGCTGGTGGCAATACAGAAGGACTAGAAGTAGGGGACCCAAAGAGTGCCAGTGAAGCAACCTGAAAGCTCAGCCAGATCTCTGTGCAAAAATGGTACACTGTGGCGTGCCCTTAGATGGCACAGTGGTGCTGGGAAAGGCAGTGGGGAGGGGGCTGGTACAGAAGACTTCCCAGGAGAGGTAAGTCTCAATCTAGGTCTTTAGAGATAAATGGATTTGAGCTGGGGGAACACAGGACAGAGCCATTTTGAGAAGTGCCACAAACCAAGGGACCAGGCATTTAACAGGTCACCTGGAGGGGACAGCCAGGAAACTCCTGTGTCTAAGAGGAAGGAAGGGGTAACATGTTAAGCAGCAAGAGGTGAGTTTGGAGGCGTTTGGGGGAGGGCAGTTCATAGACAAGGGGACTTAAGTTCAACTTCCAGGGGCCATCTTGGGAGGAAAGTGGGCTGCCGAGAATCCAGGTGTCGGTACTTACTCACTGACCCAGAGAGGACGATCTCTCTGTCTCCATATGGTCGACTCCTGCCTCTACAGCCTGGTCTTATGTTCAGATGTTTATTTGGTTTTTAAGCATAACAACTGGTGGAAAGAATTCGTAGCCTCTCGGAGCTGAATGCGCCAGCCCTGGTTGGTTCTCTCTGGAGTACAAGGCGCCCCCGGTGGCAGGGCAGAGGCCCCCCTAGGGGGACATGAACCTGACCATCACAAAACCCTGGGGTGATGGACAAGGACGCTGGCTTCTTGTCTTCCAGACACTTCCCAGCAAAGGCCTAAAGGGCTGCTTCTCTGTCCCCAAGAGCTAAAGGTCTTCATTTCAGGCTGGATTCTGTAGTCGCTTTTCAGCCCCCTCTCAGGATCTTGTGTTCAGAATATGCTTACACTACCCTGGGGCCTCTGATGTCTTAATCCCATCTGGAAGTTACTGTGAGCCAGCATTTAACCTCACTTCCTCTGCAGCAAAGCACCTCTCTCCCTGGGGAAGGAAGGACTAGTTAATGACCACTGGCAAAGGGCTTTGAAGTAGAACCTGCTGAGAGCAAGCGGCACCGTCAAAGCACAGATAGGGGACTGAGCTGACATCCGCTCCCGTGGATCCTTTCTCGCCCTGGCCTCAGGGAGCAGAGCAGTCATTTGGCAAGATGTTAACGAGCTGGACAGCCCTCTGAGTGAGAGAGGCACCAGTCCCAGAGGCTGACAGGGGGGCGGGCGAGGTGAAGAGGTGTCTGGATGTTTAGTTTGAAGTGCAAGTCACCATCTTGTACAGTGCAAACCGTTTTGTATTTAAAGTCTCCCTTTCTCGAGGGTCTTCCTATTCCCCAGGCAGGGGCTGGGGGGGGGTGTCTCTAAGTTGTCTCTAAAATGTTGCCTGCTGCGAAGGGTTTGACACTTGCTTGTAGCTGTCATCCCACTCAGAAGTCACCACTACTTACCTGCCACCCACTCTGAATCCAGAAGGGCTGTCACTACAGAATTGTCATGTTGTATGCTGTGCTTTATGAGAGTCTGACCCCGAAAATGTGACAGCAAAGAGCAGCTGTCACGGGAGGGAAGCCATTAGTTATCGCCTAAGTGTACAATCAGTGAAATCTGGGGGTGAGAAAAGATCCTTCACAGCACCTTGTCACCACTCTGCCTTCACGCAGAACCAGACCTGCCGCTCAGATACAAGACGGTCCACCCCCTCCGAAAGCTCTGCCGAAGATAAAATCACTTTAGTCAAGTGTCCTAAGGTCTTGCAAGATCGTGCTCCCTTAAGTCAGACCTAATAATCTTCAGTGTCCGCCCTAAACCCCTGCTGGTGCAATTTAAGCCAAAGCCCTTTATCTGGTTATCATTTAGTCTCACTAAACGATAAATAATTAGTGGATTAACACATGTAAAATACTTGGTCCAGGGCCTGGCACATAACTGAAAAAGCAATACACAGTAACTATTACAAGCTTTTCTTTTAATTGCCACTTTGAAGTTGCCAGGTATAGTTTGGTTTTGTTTTATTTTTTGCATTGCAAAGATGGGTAAACTGAGGCACAGAGGAGGAAAAGCAGTCTCTCCAGGTCACCCAGATCATGTAGCATAGAACCCTGAGCCTCTGCCTTCGGAGTCAAAGGGCCTAGAGTCAGGCGTCTCTGGCTGAGAATGGAAGGAGAATCTCTCTGATTAAGACCATCAGCAGGAAAGACAGTTCTCCAAGCTCAGGCCCTTCCCTAGAGCAAACGTGAAGGAAGCCTCCCAGCACAGCCGGCTGGGGACCAGGCGAGGGGAGGGTGGGGGGAGGTTAAAGGTAGGACTGAAGCAACCTTCTGAAGGGGGAGCTAAAAGAAAGACAGGAGCTGAAGGGTGTGCAGGGGATTTAGGCCCTGCCCTCTCTCTCCCCACTTCCTTCTCCCACTAGCATCTCGCTCAGTTTTTCCAGCCTGGCAACAGCAGAAAACATAGCTCAGAATGTTATCCAGTGGCTCTGGGATTCGGTGGAGCAGGGCGGGTAGGCCAGGAGGAACTTGGAAAGACTTATGTCAGAATTTAGTCTGAGATGAAAAGTGTCCTCCAGAGTCTCCAAGCAGAAGCCCTGTCCTCTTCGTGAGCTTGGGGAAGACAAACGGGGGGGCGGCTCCCAGTACCAGACTTATGGCTAGAATCTACATACACTGTGTGTCGAGCAGGCCCTAAGGGTCCCCTGTATTTATATTTGTACAGTTGGGATCCAGGACTTCAGCAGATGCTCCGAAGACCTCAGGTTGGGGTAGAAAACTCTATCACAGAACGTCTAACTGCAGTCCCCGATAGGGTTGGAAGTGGCATTTAAGCTGGGCCACTTCTCCCCAGCCCACCCCACCTCACCCAGTCCTCGCAGACACCACAGACCCCGCCCCTCCCTTCGCCACGCCCCACCCCCACCTGCCCACTGGGAGGCCATTTGATCTATTCCCTGGGACAGAAAGGAGAGATCCAAAAGCATTCCAGATCTCCACCCCGCTCTCTGAGTGCTCTCCAAAGCACGGTATTTCCACCTCCCCCTCTCTTCTCATTATTCTTTGGGGCTGGGTTCCCACCTTACATGTGCAGTACAAGTTAATTGGCTGCAGCCTTACCCCATCTCCTCTTGGTCAATTCTTTTTTTGTTTCGTTTTTAAGTTATTCTTTTTTTTTTTTAAGTGGAGGTACTGGGGATTGAACCCAGGACCTCAAGCTCTGCCAATGAGATATACGCCGCCCCCACCACAAGTCAGTTCTTAACAGAGACTGAAAACAATTGTCAGTGCTGATTTAGAAACACTTTCTTCATCGATCAAAGCTCTCCGTACAGTCTTCCTTACAAACTTCAGTTTCATACCCATAACCTCTCCATCCACAATGCCCTTGACTCTCACCCTTGGAAGAGAGACAGGAAAGCCTTCCTCCCACTCCTTCTGCCCAGCCCCAGGCTGACACACAGCTCCTGACCACAACAGCAAGCTGAGGAATGCCTCTAGTGGGAAGAAAAGCAAGCCCAGCTCGGCGTCTGCCTGAGTGTTACAGCCCTGGAGATACGGCTTACTAAGACCCGCCACGCGACTCCACCCAAAGCCCCTCGGACAGGAGCATTTCCCTGGCGCCCTCACGCACCCTACAGGCTGAAGGCAGCCTGTAGGGGCTTCAGCAGCCTTTCAGTGGTGACTTTCGCTGTCCCTGCTAGAGTTTTAGCTGCGTTCTTGGGTTTTAGCTTTCAAGTTCCTGATCCAGTAGGTGACAGACAGAGGTGGTTGACTTGTCCAGGAGGATGACCAGAGGGGGAACAGAGTGCATGACAACAGAAGGGTTAATGTTTAAACCAAACAGAACTATACTGTATCTTTTAGGATTACATGGCTTGGGGGGAAAAATCTTTAAAAAGGGGGACTTCTGAGATTACAGAAAAAAGAGGGTAAAGTGTATCATATTAAATAAAGGAGGTAAGGGTGTTATTTACTTGACTTTTGAGCTCCATAGCAGCCCCATTTGTCTATGAATTTCCATCTCCTTGAACCTCAGGGCGTTGCTCACTCCTTTAGCTGCTCTCAGAATGCACACGGCAACCCCCTTCAAGCTCTGCATGCAAAGACCCTTGTCGCTCAGCCCAGGTTTTCGCCCTTTAATTTCCTGCCACTTTCTCTATCTGCAGAGTGGTAGGAAAATTCTCCAGATTTAAGTCCCTCCATTTCCCCAGTCTCGAGTAATTCAGCAACTCCTTACTCTCCAAAAAACAATCACGTACTTCAAAGCTGCTAGTTCGTCTTTGACTGCCTTCTGCTGCCCTCTGATGCTCACAGGCGGGAAAAGACCAAGACCTCACTGGAAGGACCCTCAAGGACGGTCCAGGGTCTGCGGAGTAGTGTACAGAATGGTGGGTGGCTAGGACGCAGAGCGACAAACGCAGGCAGACACCGCCCCCCGCCCCCCCGTCTCTAGTTCTGCCCCTTAACTGGTTGCAAGTCTGCATGACTCTGATCCTGGAAAGCACCTGCCCCACCCAGCCAAGTTCAAAGTATTTAAACAGAGGCTGTCTGGCCTCACTGCGGATCCAGGCCCCTGATCTGGGCTTCTCCTGGCCACCCCCGCCCCTCTTGTCCCCCCAGAGTTCTCCATCAGCAGCTTCTGCACCGTGGTGGACGTCATGAACTTCTCCAAGCTGCAGGTGCTGCGCCTGGACGGGAACGAGATCAAGCGCAGCGCCATGCCGGCCGACGCGCCCCTCTGCCTGCGCCTCGCCAGCCTCATCGAGATCTGAGCGGCCCCGCACCGGGCGCGCGGCGGCGACAGCCCCCGCGCCCCTCCGCATCTGGCTTGATGGTTTGGTTTGGCTTTTGCTGGAAGGTCGGGGGCAGAGCATGTGGCAGAAGTCCGTGGGCTTCCTCTATCGTCTTTTTCCCTGTAGGCAGGTTTAGGTCGAATCAGGGGTCGGGCAGCTTCCTTCTGCTGGGGGACACGAAACTCTCTTTTCCGGGACAGAAGTGGTGGCAGACGGAGTAATCCCTGAAGTTCCGACCCCAGAAATCTCATTACCCGTAAGTTCTTCACGATGATCTGGTGTAATGAACCTTAAAAGTTGTCTGGGCAGTGGTACATGGCCGTCCTTGTTAAGCAGTCTCTGACTCTGTGAGCAGCACTTGACAGCTTTCCCACGTGCTGGGCTGCTTGTGCAGTTACTCTGGGCTCCCACTCACTGCTGCTCAGAATATACCTCTTGCCCAGCCTCCTCCTCCTGAGTCCGCCTCACCCACTCAACCATGCTCCACAGACCCCTCTTTACTCCTTAAACAGAGGCAGGAGACCCCCAAGGCATGTGGGCTTCTGCCCAGAAGCCTGTGCAGAGAACTCACACTTGTGTCTGAGGTTGGAAGGGCACCAAGAGTCACCTCTACACCTTCCTAACCTCACTCCTTGCAAACTACCAGACTGGAGGCCACCAGTACGATGACAGTATTCCTGACCTGACGTGGGGGGAGACAACCGATCTCAGGCTTAGAAAAATGCATCGGGCTGCACGGTAGCAGCTGGGCAGTTCTTTGAAGGTGGATCAGGCTTCAGAAGAGGAAAGGCCAGACTCTTCTTGTCCTCAGCATCTGGAATGGGGGTAAACACACCTCAAGGTGGCTGAACTGAGGCCGCAGCCCCAGCAGTTTCATTCTTGCCCAGCACTCTCTGCATTCCCAGCAGCTCCCTCCGTGGTCTTTATCCTCAAAGGCAGAGGCCATGTGGTTCTCAAAGCATATAAGGGTAATTGGTCCTCTCCTCTTATGCAAGCAGAAAGGTCTATATCCTGTTGGGAGGGAAAGACTCCGACCAGCCCAGGACTTGCCTGCTCGCCCGGAGGAGGAAGCTGTGGTATTGTTTTGCTATCTGTATTGTTTTGTCCTAAGGCTGCAGTGAGCCAAACCAGCTCTGGCTGGAGATGCTCACTGGGCCCTTGAAGCCCTGGCCAGGCAGCCAAATCTTGCCTGTGCTGAGTGCAAAACCCTCTGCTTTCACATCTCTGTGCTGCACCCTCATTACTGAAGGTGGCTGTTGCTTTGTAGCTTGGCTGGAGAGCGATTTATTTTTCCCATTGCTGAAAGCCATGTTGCCTGGGGAGACCTAACTCTCCTGCTCTTTTGGGTACTATTGGGATGAAGCCATCTGGGCAGCCAGGGGCAGGACTGCTTGAGGAGAGCTGGCCCTAGTCTGGTCCCTGCCCAGACGCCACTGCATCCCTGATACAGTGTATGCTTTGAAGCACTTTCCCGGAAAAGCAAAGCAGTGATCCTTGGTCTGTATTCTTGGTTTCGGACCCTTAAATCCACAAAAGCCAAACCAGCTCATTTCAACAAAGGAGCTCTAGTGTGAGGGGCAAGGCTGCCCCCCGGCCCCAGGGCTCTTCAAAAAGCATCTGCATGTGAACACCATCATGCCTCTATAAAGGATCCTTATTATAGGAAAAGCATGAGTGGTGGCTAACCTGACCAATAAAGTTATTTCACAATTGCACCCGCAAGTCTGGAGTCATTTAAGACAGGCACAAAGGGGTTACTTTAAGGGGACCTAGTGGGGTCACACAGGCCTCAGACTGGGGGAGCCCACTTTCTCATCTCTTCTGCTTGGGCAGATGTAGCTAAGGGGTTCTTTAAAAGTCACCTGTATAAAGCCTCTGGTGAGCAAACTGTGTGCTCTGAAAGTTCTTCTTTAAGTCTACCTTCAGTCCCACTAGCTACACGTTTCCTAACATTTGGTCCCCAAGAGATAAAAGAAAACTCCCCCCCCCAATCATTCTAACATTTTTCTCCTTCAACCATCCTCCCTTGTCTACCACCCAGTTAATTCTGGGGACGATTGGTCCAGACTATTGTTGTCTTGACTGCTCCTGCCCCCTAGTGGCAAGTCAAGTACTGCAAAGCACAGTTGGGCTTGGAAGACGACAGTACGTGGTCAGTGGCGCATTTATTCTTTTATTCACCCCTTCAATGCATATTCTTTTCTTTTCTTTCTTTCTTTCTTCTTTTTTTTTTTTGAAAGATTTTGGGGGGGAGGTATTTATTTTCAGAGGAAATACTAGGACCTCCTGCATGCTGAGCACTCACTCTACCACTTGAGCTGAACCCTCCCCTCTCAATGTACTTTTCTTGAAAGGCTTTAGCGCAAGGTGCTTATCAAGTGTTACATAAGTTAGGAGGGTGGACTAGGCTTGTACTTTTCAGACAATTCACCATTTTCTAATAGAGAAATAACCACAACTGATATTTATTAAGCTTAATATATTATTTACTGAATATATTCACTAATATATTCCGTGAAATTCTGTGCCAAGAATGTTCCAACTTCATCTTAAGCCAGAGTAAGCTAACTGATTATAATTCTCTGGAGTAAGAGTCAGGCAGGAATGGGAGCGTGCAAAAAGATCGATCATAACTGTGGCCCTGGGTCTCTCTTCAAGGGCAGCAGGTTCAGCACATCTGCCTTGGGGCTCCAGTGCACAGAGATGTCACAGGAAGGAGAAGGAGACACAGACACACAGGAGGAGATCCAGCCAAGCTACACGGAGGAATCTCCTGCCTCTCAGTTTTGTACTTAGCAGCTCCCGTGAACATCCCAACCAAGACAAGGCAGGGGAAAGAATCCAGAGCCAGACCCAGCCCTGCTGCATGGCTTCCCTGGTTTCTAAATCCAGAACTTCTCCAGAGGGTAGCAGGAGGGAGTTACCCATCAGACTCAGTGGCTACCATTCGATCAGTGCACGCTAGACGCTTTACTTACATTACTTCATTCCTAACCGTTCTATGCCAGAGGTACTATGATTTTCACTATTTTATAGATGGGGAGGCTGAGGCACCAAGAGGCTGAGGTCACCCAGGAATGAAGCATCAAGGCCAGGATCTGACCCCAGGTGCTCTGTCTCTCCAGTCTATCCGTTTTGCTATACTGTTTCTACTGTGCTAGCCTGAAGATCTCTGTGTTACTGGTGTATGCAGAATTACCAGGCACATGGAGGACGCATGATGGTAGAAGGGAGTGTCACAAGTGGAGGGAGGCCATCTGACTTTATTTTTTGTGGACCTAAATCCATGCCGCTAGCATTCACAGTGCCTTTATGAATTTTCCAATTCAAATTCACTCTTCATCAATAAATGTGTGCCCTCGGTCGGGCGCTGGTGATCCTGCAGACAACAGAAGCAAACCTTCCCTGTTGAGGGATTTACAGTTTAGTGTGATGACAAAACATGAACAAAAGAATCACCCTGAGGACCATACAGTTACAAACTGAGAAAGGGCTGTGAAGGAGATCAGACAGGTCTGCACAAGGATTATCAAGGAGCCTGGCCTAGACCGGAGATTCAGGGTAGATACGCAGGTGTGGAGGGAGAGCGGACTTGTCTGGATGAGGGGACGGGAGGAGCGGTCCAGCAAACATAGCAGCATATATAAACTTTCTAGCGCAGGAGGAAGCTGCCAAGACACTGAAAGACAGCAGAAATGGCCAGAGCACAGGTGACAAGGGAGAGGGTCTCAGGCAATGAGGCTGGAGCTGTGGGCAGGAGTAAAACCATCTGCCGCCTTTACTCTCTTATTTCAGACACAAGTACCACGACACTTTACCAATATCCCAAACCCCGGCTCAGTCTCGCAGTTTGTCTTCCAGCAGCGAGTGGGCAGCCTCTCCCTTCACACCATCAGAGCTTCTTCTGAAACCATTAAAGGCTTCAGTTCATGCCCACTTTCTCCCATCCTGCTCTGATCGGTACCGAGACCCACTGGACATGTAACCAGCAAACAAAGGGTCAGAAGGTGCGGTATGACCAGGGAGACTTGACCTTCATGGACCCCTCAGGCAGTCTGCTGAAGCCTATGGACTCCTTCTCAGAATGTTTTTAAAGGCGTAAGATAAAATCCATTGGATTTCCAAAGGAAACCAATTGCACTGAAATGCAGTTATCAAAATATAAAATAAATAAATATTTTAAGTCGTGTATATATGTTTATTAATGCAATAAACAACAAGATCTAGCAACAAGTCTAATTAACTGTAGTCATTCCGAAGTGCCGGTGGGCGTGACTGGCAGTTTGAAATATTTTTTCAGTAACTGCAATGTGATACAAAAACATCTGTGATTTCAGTTGGTGACAGAGCCTCAGGTTGCCTGTTACCTTCCTAATGGAAGGGAATGCTAAATTTCAGTTAGATGTGTGAAATATCAAGGTACAGTGTTTTGTCATCCAAGTTCAGGGACCGTCTCTAAACTGAGCCGTGATAAGACAGGCAGAAAGATGGATTACAGCAGGAAGGCGAGATGAGGAGGAAGATCGTGGTCTTGTCTCTCTGTGAGCAGAGCTCCATCATTCAACAATTTTTTTTTGTATGCAAAACCCTGAGCCACATAATGTCAATAGTTGGTGCATTTAGTGTGTGGCAGAATGAATGCAAAGGTCGCCAGGCGCTTGCTGTGGGATGTGGTGGAAATAACACTATCTATCATTCCTTAGCCATGTAAGACACTGAGTTGATTTGAGACCCCATGAGGCAGTTTGAAACAATTCACGTATAACGAGTCCTCATCTTTCCTTTTTTAAGGAATTATGAAATCCTTTAAACCTACAACGAAGCACAGAAAGCAATATAACAAAGACCTGTGTTTTTACCATCCAGATTTGACAAATGTTAACACCGCCATGTCTGCTTTAGATGAATTTAAAGAACACTGCAGCTCATCGTAAGTCCCCTTTTACCTTTTCCTATTCCTGTCTCTTACTCCCCAGAGGTAAACTCTTCTCCAAGCTGTGTGTGTTTTCATCATGTGATTACGTATTTTTGAATCCACAGGTGAAGTGGAGAGTTGTGTCTTTAAACTTTACACAGTAAACAGTTGCATTCTCTGTATTAACGCTGCTTCTTCCAGTGAACATGCGTGTTCAAGATTTGTCCATATTGGTTCTTGCAGGTCAGGTTCACTTATTCTAGCTACTGTAAGAAAACACCTAAGTTTACTTCTCTGTTCTCCTCTGGAGGGACATTCAGATTATTTCCAATACTGTAATGTTAGAAACAAATAATGCATCCTTTGACCTGTCTTTTTGGGGTTGCATTGGAGAGTCCATCTAGGGCTTACAGCAGGGTTTCTCAACAGTGCGCTACTGGCATTTGAGTCCGGATAATTCTTTGTTGGGCAGTGGGCTGGGGGCCGGAGTGACTGCCTGTACATTGTAGGATGTCTCTATCCACTAGATGCCAGTAGCATCCATCCCCTCCCTAGTCCAAATCAGAAATGTCTCCAGAGTTGCCAAGAGTTCCCTGGGGGGAAGAGCACCACCAGTTAAGAACCACTGGTGTAGACGCCCAGGAGGGAACTGCTGAGTTGCGAAGTATGAACAGTTTACCTCCGCCAGGTGCTGTCAAACTGCTCTCCAAAGGGGTTGTACAAATGTGCACTCACACCAGCTGTACCTGAGCCCCATGTCCCCACATCCCCACGAGGCCAAGTCCTGACTCAGACTTTGGTAATTTGGACAGTCCGATGGATAAGACCTGCTACTGCTTTTTTTCGAATTTGCATGTCCATCTTCCATTTTCAGAGATGGTAGCAATTGCACCGATCTGCTCCTCCTTACAAGTTATGCTGAGCATTGGTGAGGAAGTGTCAGAGACAGGTGACTACATGGCTGTAGGTGAAGGACAGCGTCAAAGGGGAGCAGGAGAGGAGGCCCCTGTGGGTGCACTGGCATCTCCCCATGACCAGGGCATCAGGCGACTCGTGAGCACTCCTGAAGGCAGCAGCGAGGACGGAGGGTAAGACACCACGCTCCACAGGGACGGGAAGAGGCCAGCCGTTGTGCTGGTCACAGTGGGCCACATCCACCTTTTGGCTCCATCATCACATCTTCTGATTATCCTTTCCTCGTACGACAGAAGAGGACAGGTGGTGGTGGGGAGCCCCCAGTCAGTACCACATCATTTCATGTGTTAGTGGTGCAACCTGGTTGGACTGTAAATTCCTTAAAGGTGGAGATCATGTCAGATGACCCCTCCACATACCCTCCAACAGTTAACACTGACCTGGGTTTGTAAGTTTTTAATACCACCTGTCAGATCATATTCTTTTGGGCGCAATGAAAACAGTGGCATGAAATGGATTGAACAGCCCATTACACACACATACACCTTTTCTTCCTCCCAAATATAAAGTGTTTTCAACTGTATGACCCCATTTATTTCCCCTAAATATCTATACATTAAGGACATAAGTCTGATTCGTCCATTTTACAGGTAGGGTAATTGAGACCTAGCACTTTCTTTTTTAACATCTATTGTTATTTTTATTGATGTATAGTCAGTTTACCATGTTGAGTCAATTTCTGATGTACAGCATCATATTTCAGTCATACAGATACATACATATATTTGTTTTCATGTTCTTTTTCATTAGAGGTTACTACAAGATATTGAATATAAATACTAACTACTCTATAGAAAATAGATAAACAACAGGTTTCTACTGTAT